CCCCCCTTCACAGTCCACACTTTCACTGCCTCCTCCTCCCCCCTCTTGTTCCAGCACGTCCTCCCTGTCCCTCCTGTAACTCCCCAGGGGTCTGGTCCGGTGCCAGCTGGTGTGCCATATATTTCTCAAAGTTAAAAACTAAAAAATTACTCATTTTATGGCCAGTTCAAAAGAGGGGAAAGAAACTAGGCATGGCTTTAGATGAAGATGAAGACACATTCGTGCATATGCAACGGACTACATATTTCATTTACAAGTCACAAAATGAAACATTAAATGAATTCATAATTTTTATCTCACTCCAGGAAGGATGGATTAGATCTTGAAAGATGATTCCCATAAGATGGAACATCTATGCATCTTTTTGGCACAACAAAATCATTACTGCTTCCACTAAATCAATGTGAGATATGGAGATACTTTTTAGTCTTTGTCATGCCAGATCTTAGATGTAAGAAAAACAAAAAAAACAAAACAGTAATTGGTCTCATAAGAAATGCATTAGAGTATTGTTATCATTGTGAGGTTGCCAGACAACCAGGGTGCCTGTCTATTTTAATGTTGTATCTCTTGACATATGGAGGATGAAATATGTTGTAGTCATAAATCAATAAGTGGCAAACAAATTTAAATATTTGTGAGAGACAAAGGTCCTTTTCTATGGATCTGTCATATTCTAAATGAAGTTCCTCTATGTTGAATGTGGATCAGGCACAAAATAGGCTGGCATATAGTCTGCTAATAATAATTATGGTGATAGTGAGTACAGAGGGCTAGTGAATGGTGAAAGGTCAAACAACCTGCCAGAGTCTACGTGTGCCGCTAATGCCACCTGCTCTGGAGCTTAACCTCAACATTTCCCTGATGCGTTACAGTGCAGGCCATCGATAGAGCATGACTTTTTAAGGTTGGGGTCAGTGCCGCAAATGCTAATGCAAGAAAGCTGTTATCAAGCGATAATGTTTTACTGGGACAGTAACATAATTAACCCTTTTACTGTTGTTAAACTGTAGTGAGTAAGTAAGTACCTACAGAGAAACCAAATTTAGGTTTCAGAGGAAAGGCTGAGGATGTTATTCCGTACTTAAATCCCACATTTGCTTTGAAGTTGGTTTTTAAGTCGTACTATGCATGGAAAACGGAGAGATAATGTAGCGAGGGGTGAAGAGAAGAGACAGGCCAGAGAAACAACAGAGGAGTTCTCTTTCATAGCATTGGTTTCGATGTCTCACTATGAGATACGCCCCCCTTGCGTATTCACAGAAGCGTTTCAATTCAATCACCTCTTCTTACTTCAGTAGCAAGCTTTTCTCCACCTGTACCTAGCTAGCTTAACTGTCCTCTGTCAGAGTTTGGGATCTGTACAGTGTGTCTGTCACTCAAATACTGATGCTTTGGGACCCAACCCCACCTGGGACTGAGACTCAACAATCAACAATTTTCTTCTGGGCTCTGAGTATACTGTGGTCATCTAAATGTATCTGTGGTTTGTTGCATTTGTATGACTTTAAATACTAATAAAAAGTACTAAATGGGTGAGTGACTACGACTGCTAGCCACTGACCTCTTACACCTTCTTAATGTGTTTGAAATAATGCAGGTAACTCAGCCTATTTTGAGATGATGTGACTTTACTCCAGTTAGCTGCTAATATCAGACTGATTTAAACTAAACTAAAATCTGTGGCAGACCCTTTCTAAAGAAAACAATTTCTAATCTATGATTTCAGTGTACAACAGGGGTGGAGTTGAGTGAAGGTAGCTCAGTCTATTAATAGCTGCTCTCCAGCTGAGCTTGCAGGAGCGTGCACAGGCAGCAGCAGGGGGAAAATTGTTAAATGTAATAAGCCCTTCCCTGTTCATCCCCCTTCAATCACTGTGGTGAAGATGCCAAATGTCACAGTGAGTGTCACAGAGCACTGCTAGGACTTCTTTATACCCAGGAGGTATAGGCCCAAGGCACAAGCAAACAAGGACTGTTGTAAATGTGCTACAAGCTACGGAAGCCCTAAAGGCATGCCATTCACATTTTTATTCCTCCATTTTCCCGTGATAACGAAGTTATGTTTTCCTCGAGATCTCGAGATATACGCCACTTTCGTTTCCCGGATTAACGATATTAATTAATTCATATCACAGTCATTATCTCGGATTTGAATTAATCGTAATGTCGTTATCTCTGGAAACAAAGTTTCGTTATCTCGAATATCGAGAAATTAACTCGTTATCACGGGAAAACGGAGGAAATAAAATGTATGAATGCATGGCCCTTTAGGGCTTCCGTAACAAGCAGCATTTTGAAACATTAATGTATCACTTTCAAATTAATTCCTGCTTGTAATCACTGTAAACAAATGAGACCATGGAGAGATAAATAGCAGGCCAGTTCACAGAATTGTTCATGCTTGTGATTTCCTCATTAAAACTACATTTCCAATAAACCTCATTACCTTCTCTTGCAGGCTGCAATTAGAAGCAACTGTCAAAAGCTGTTCACATCAGTCTCCTAGGTTGAAAACGTAGATATAACTGTTGGAATGCTCACTAACGACATCTGTTGGTTAAAACATGAACACACTATAGGAAAACAGCAGGTTTGAGATTAGTGTTCATACCTTCATTGTGTGTAGAGTACCACTCAACACTAGACACTTCCAACTATCACAAGTTAAAGTTAGCTAGCAATCTAGCCAAACAGTCAGTTTTACTTCCTTTGTGATGTTTAGGGATAATGTAAGGAGGAAAGAAAAAACATGGACAGTTTTTTCAGAGGACTAAAAACTGGAGGTGATAGTGATAATAAAGAGACTGCTAACATTCAATCAACAGCATTAGCCCAGCACATTATTTGGCATTTTTGACAATTTCACATTACATTCTACACCTAGCATTAGCCTTTTGCTAATAACCAGTGTTTATCCATTTTTAGTATCTCTTGGAAACTTCTATTGTGTTGTAACTTAGTTCTTGTTTGTTCTTACAGCTTTTGTGAGCCTCAGAGCTGAACAGCTGCTCACTGTACGGTGTTTGTCAGTGCTGTAAAACAGAGGTTATCATTTTTCCAATATCGAAGTTGGAAATAGCCAACACAAATTGATGCAAACAATAGCAATGACTGGCTGATAACATCCCTTATGTTTACTAAAGTTGCTCTGACTTCTCAACCGCGACAAACCCAGCAGATGTTTTTGCTAAGTACACTATACAATTAAAACAGCATTGCAGAGGCCGCCAGTCTTCTCAGTGTAAGTCTCTCTGTAAGTATCTTAACTGCCGTCACAGCTTCATACTGCAATAAACACTTAATTTCTAAGCATTACTGTCAAGAGATGCACAAGCATACAATGTGCACTGAATGGTCTTCACCCTGCATCTGTCTCTGATATTCCACTTTACATTCAGACTTCTTTGTGAAGTGGGCAGGAGAAGCACTACATGACCACAATGACTGGTACTTCAGTTATCAATCACAAAAAGCAGTAGATCAGTGGTTCTATGTGGGGCTGCATGAGAAAGTATGAATATTTCAGTGTGTGGGCATGTTCATGTGCATGCTGTATGTGAGTGTGTCTGCATATAGCGAGTATGTATCAGTCTCTGTGGGGGTGGAAGGGTCATGACAGGGGTACAGGAGGTGTGCGTGAGTGAATGTGTGAGCATGTAATTGCAGTGCGGGTGAGTGGGTGCATGTGTGTGTAACTTAATTAAGTGGGTGTCAAAGATTCTATTTTCCTGTCATGTCAAAGTGCTGCGTGTGTCTTCACACACAAATCAAGCTACTGCGAGAGGCGCATGCACCTTTGTTTTGCCAATTAATTTGTTTAGTGAGTGAGGTTTACTACTAAATTACAGCAACTTCATTATCATCATCATGCCATGAAGCCTGCAGCTTTGGTTTTGGTTTCAACAGGCGAGAGGAAGCAGCCTAGAAGGCACTTTATTATGTTTTATCTACCATAAGGGGCATTTTGTTGGGTTCTAAGCTCATTCTAAGTTAACAAAAATTACACACTAATGAAAACATCTATGAATATTATATTCCATTTCTGCCAATACATCCTCCTTAATGTTACACACTGGACCTTTAAGTAAACTTTTGCAATAACTAGTGTGGGAAATGACTCAAAAAGAGAATACAAAGATAGCTACCTTTTCTCCATTAGCGCTTCCCAGCACATAGCATCCCATGATGTGGATGAGGTTGGGCTCTGGGTTCAGCTTACTCATCAGCCTGCTGAGCCGCCGCCAGAACCTGAACACACAGGAGAGGTTAAGATAATCCACAACAAATGGGTAAGAGCAGCAGAGGAAGTGAGTTAGAAAGACGGTTAAGGTCACAACAAGGTGGTGTCCAGAAAACGATGTGGGCTTCATTGATAACTGGCAGCCTTTTTGGGGAAAACCT